TATATATATATATTCTATTATCAAAAATTAATTATTAAACTTTCATGAAATTCAATTTTACAAAAATTACCATTGTTTCATAAAAATATAAATAATTTAATTAAATATAAATAAAATTAAATATAATATAATTAAATAAATGTATTTCTAATATTTTTTATAAAAACACATCTTTGAAACATATATCTAGTGAGATAAATATTTTATAAAAATTTATTTATCAGTTATATTTATCAGTTTTATTTTCATAATGATATAATATTGATTAATATTTTTATATTTATAATGTTCAGAAATATATGATTCAAATTTATTTCTATAAAAGATATATATTTATAAGTTATATAAGAAGCTTAACATATTATATATATATGCTATTATATTTGTATAATTTTTATATAAATTATATAATTTAATTTATTAAAGAAGATCTAATTTGTAATTTGTGCAAATATTATTAAGATAATATTATATACACTTATATACTATTAATTTTTACTGATAAAAAATTGTTACTTTCCTAATAAATTATGTCAATTATATATGAACTTAAATTATATTATATTATATTTGATAACATGATCAATTTTAGTTGCTTTTATATAAATTATTTATCTTACAAAAACTTAAAATATGAAAAAATTTATTATTGCTTTCTGAAACTTTTCAATATTGGATATATATTATTAAGTGCATCTTGCAATTCAGTTCTATTTTTTGCTCCTAAAAAATTAATATATATAAATATATAAATATTTATAAAAGTTAAAAATCTCTTTCTTTTAATTTATTCTTACCTGTTAATACAACTTTTCCATTTACAAATATAAGCAATACTACTCTTGGTGATACCATTCTATATATAAGACCTGGATAAAGTTCAGGTTCATAACTAGAAAATTGTCCATGTATATGATTTAAATTTTCTAATTTAATTGGAAATTTTAGATCACATGTAGCAACTATATTTTGTATTTTAAAATTATAAAATTTAGCCTGTAATAATAGACACGTAAAATGAAATATAAGATTATTAATTCTCTATTTATTTAAATATAATATATAATACTTCTTACTGCAAAACCTAACTTCTGAATTATTCTTGCAAACTTTCTTGTTGCTAAATAAGAGTCTTCTTCACTTCTTGCACCAGTACATACTATTTTTCCAGAATGAAAAATTAATGCAGTAGCTCTAGGATTTCTAATCCTCATAATCAGACCCATAAATCTTGCTGGATTATATTCAGAATTTCTTGTTCTTGTATTAATATACATTAATGGTAACTCAATACCTAAGTTAACTGTAGAAACTACATTTCTAAAAAAAAAAAAGAATATAATTCAACTATGTGTCTATGTATTTATAAACTTGAAATATTTACTTTCATTTGAAATACATATAATAAATTTAATTATTCTCACAAAATTTATTTAGATAGTTTGTATAAAAATGAAAAAAAGATTTATAACTGAAGTACTTGTATCACTTACTGTAAACAAGGTTCTATCACTTCTTTTGTACTATTAGCTGGGGTCATCGGACTTATCAATGATTGTGGATTAACATTTTGCGATGTACTCGGTCGTGGAACATTAGTCTAAGGTAAAAATTAGCAAATAAATCGGAAAGTTATGAACAAATGCATACTCTATAAACATATTTATTAATTTACCGATTGCGGCGGACCCATCAAACCATCCTCCCCAGCATTTTTTGCAGGGTTACCAAGTAACTTTTTTAATTCATTGTCTTCTTGTACAATTGCAGTCATCTTGTTTGTATCAATTCTTGAATAATTATAAAATCATTTTAATCACATGGATCACCAACCATTTTGAACAATACTCACAACTAGTGCGTCATTTGAAACGCCATCTGTATATGATCAGCTGATTGTTTTCATACATTTTAATATATTCTCATAAAATAATACAATAGAATAGGCTTACTATTCAATGCATTTTTTTATTAATATTATTTTATTTAATTTTCTTCTTCTTATTTTTTTTATTGCTTTTTCAAATTTCATTATCGTTGCTGAATATTTTGCATTAAAACATTTATATCATATTTTAATCGTCTTATACATATATTGTAAAGAATATTATATTAATATTTTATTAAAAATCAAGATTAATTGTAATTTTAAAAGAAAAATGATGCAAGTATTGACAATTGACATCTCATACATATGTGAGATATAATCATGCGGTAAGAGAATACATATAGATAAGAAAAGCAAATTAGAGTAAAAATTGTAGAATCAGCGCCATCTCTTGAGTGCTTTATTTTATCTTCTCTTTGGAGAGATGTTTTTAATTAAAAAATGGCGTTGATAGTCAATTCTTATTTTATCTTTATTTTTCTTCATCTATTTAGTAATACATCATATAATAAATTTTTACATCCCTGATGTATTCTTACACGATAAGCCAATTATATTTGAAATTTTGATATGATTATAGTTGCCAATGACAACGATGAATTATAATTAAGTATACATATCAGAATACAACTTAATTAGTATACACGATAAAAAAATAGAATTAAGTTGTCAAAAATTGTTTTAAGATTTATTTAACATAATAAAGTGACAATCACTATGAGCTCAATCTTTGGCGGCAGTGACAGTAACAATAATTTAAACGTCATTATTTTTGACGCGTCAAAAAACGAGAGAAAATTGAATGAAGAATTTAAAATATTACAAAGAAAGTTAAAATCAAAATGGAAATTTATCGAGTAATGTTATATTAATTATATTTTGATTATATATTTTCATTGAATTCGAAGTATATTTTTTTATATCTTTTATCATATTTTAGAAACAACGATGTTTTAACAGAAGAATTATTATTGACAGGCAAAATATTAGTATTGCCTGGTCCACGAAATAAATTTACAGAATTAGAAATGAATTCGATTAGAGCATTTTTAAATTCTGGCGGACATATTTTAGTTATGCTTGGTGAAGGTGGTGAAAAAAAATCAAATACCAATGTAAATTTTTTATTGGAAGAATTTGGCATAATGGTGAACAATGGTATTTCATTATAAAAATTTCTAATGAAAATATAATTAAAAAAACTTTGTTTGATTTTATTTATTATCAAATTTTTAGATAGTGTTATACGTATGAGTTATAGTCAAACAATGCATCCAAAAGAATGTTTAATATCTCAAGGAATGTCAAACAAATCCATATTTTCAAGAAATCATGATGAATATATGTAAATTATTTAAGTATAATTATTAATTGTCATATTATATAAAAATATTTTATTTTTAATATATCATATTACAGAAACATGAACTTTTTATATCCATATGGAGCAACTTTAAACGTAGCACAATCATCTAGAGTTGCATTATCAAGTGGATCAATAGCAATTCCAACAAATAGACCTATTTGTGCTTATCATTATAATGAAACCAATGGTGGAAAATTACTTGTTTTAGGTTCTTCAAGAATGTTGACCGATACATATATTGAAAAAGAAAAAAATGATTCATTAAGACAAATGATTTTTGATTTTTTTGAATCTACAGATATTGTAATTAAAGAATCTCAAATGGATGATGTAGATGTAAGTTTCTATATTTTAATTGATCATATCAACAATTATTTACTATTATTAATGATAACAATATTTATCTAGTTTTGGGAATATAATTTTATCCCAGATATTACACAACAAGCTGATAATCCAAAAGTATGTACTCAAGATATGGATATTATGGATAATCCTTATGATTATACCAAATTGTTTAAACATCATCTTTATTCAGTAAACTTAGATATGGTACCCTCTTGTATAAAGGCTTATGAAGTTCTTGGTGTAAAACATGAACCACTTACTCTTATTCCACCACATTTTGAGACTCCATTACCACCTATGCAAGCTTCAGTAAGATTGTTATTATTGCATTATAAATATATATTTTAAATCAGATATATGGCAAAACAAATTTATTTTTTTTATAGGTTTTTCCACCAAGTTTTCAAGAATTACCACCACCAGCTTTAGAATTATTTGATTTAGATGAAGCTTTTAGTTCTGATTTATTGAAATTATTACAATTAACAAATAAATATATGGCAACAAAAGATTTATCAAAAGATATGGAATTAGATCATTACATTCGAGAATTTGGAAGTATTATTAGAATAAGTAACTCGGAAACTCATTCAGCCAAAGAAGTATTAAATATAGTTTTTCAAAGTATCTGTAGTTATAAAGCTATGCACGAATGAAAAAAAATTGTATATATTAAAATTATATATATTGTGTTTTAATATTTTACTTGTACTACATTTATAACATAAATGTACACAATGTAAAAGATATGTACATAATTAAAAGGTTATAATATTGTATATTTTTTACTGATTAAAATTATTTTCAATTATCTTTTATCGTGAAATCTTATTTTGTAGAACATCATTCCAGAAGTTTTATATCGACAAAATCATGAAATTAGAATAAATCTTATATTTTATATAAATTTATGCACTTTGTCACATTAATTTAGATAAAGGATAAGAAAATACATTAGATATTGCGTTTATTGTTGCGCTTTATCTATAATGATATATAACATAAAATGAATGTTACTGCCATCTATCGTGAATACTCTGAAATTTAAAGTAAAATAAAATTGATTATCATGGCAGTATAATCATTAATGCACATAATAATTTATTTGTCAATAATCAACTAAAGTATTTGCAATTTACTTTAGGTTTATTTTAAATAGTAAAATGATTTTCATAATTTAGAATATTCTTTCTTATGTCGTTTCAATAGTGTTTATAAAAAATGTCGGTATTCTTCGTGAATGCGTGAGTAAAATTATTTGTTTCTATATTATTAGGTTATATGTATATTTTTCCTACATATTTATTTCAAAATTTTTTTAAAAAATGTAGTGTTACTTTACAAAAATATGATATATATTGAATAAATAAATAATAATTATAATGTAAATATATTAACTTGTTATTATTATTCTGTTTAGTAATCAAGATAGTGAAGTTGAAGGTGATTCAAATGGAGACTTACAAATTGCATCGCCTGGCAGTTCTGAAGCTCAACAAACTTTGGCACAATTTTGGCCAAAAGTTACAGAAGAAATTAAAAAAATTACTACTGTAAATAATAATTTAAATATTATATGTTTTATAACATATTATTTAATTATTTTATTATTACTTAATAATGATTTAATTTTATTTATTATTGGATTTATAGATGGACTTAAAAACGCAATCATTGCCATTAGCAAGGATAAAAAAAATTATGAAACTTGATGATGATGTTAAAATGATAAGTGCAGAAGCTCCAATGTTATTCTCTAAAGCAGCAGAAATTTTTATACATGAATTAACATTAAGAGCATGGGTTCATACAGAAGATAATAAAAGACGTACTCTTCAAAGAAATGATATAGCAATGGCAATAACTAAGTATGATCAATTTGATTTTCTAATTGATATAGTCCCTAGAGATGAATTGAAACAGAGTAAAGCACAGACTGAAAGCACTGTACGTACTTCTATGAATTCAGATCAGGTACATTACTACTTTCAATTAGCACAACAACAAGCTTCTGCCAATCAAAATGTCCAAAGTGGTAATGCTACTACACAACCTATACAAATAGTGCAACCGTCAACTGGACAAATACAAACAATTAATATTGGTAGTCCAGTAGAACAGGTATATATTTTATCCTTATAAAATATTTTATTTCTTTTATAAATTGAAATATTTATTAAATAATTTAATATAGGAAAGCACTACTCCAAATACAGCACAGACTGTAACAGTACAAAGTCCACAACAATCATCAGGCCAACAAATTATACAATTACAACAGGCTCAACAAACACCTACAACACAAACTGGGGGAATACAAATTGTACAACAAATTGTAACACCTAGTGGAGAAATTCAACAAATACCAGTATGTATACTATTTTAGGATCTAATATGAATTTATTATTTATTTATATTTATTTATTCAACTTGTATATAACTTTAGATACAATTAACGCCTCAACAACTTCAAATGATTCGTATGCAAGTACAAGGTGGAAGTAATCAACCAATTATAATTCAAACTGCTCCTATACAAGCTCAACCCCAATTGATACAGGTTGCGCAAGGTGCTCAAGCACCGGTGTTTCTACAAACTAGCGGAACAGACAATGAGTAAATATTAATTAATTTTAAGAAATATTTAATGTTTAGTACAACAAACAAAAAACCGGATAAAACAGTAAACATAAACTTGTATGGTAAGGAATAAAATTTTTTGTAAATTATTCCTAAAACAAAAGCGTTTTATAACTTTTATCCTTATTACAATACGATATCGCGAAAATAATTTCTGCTTGATGTGACTATAAAATTATACGATTATACCATGAGTAGATGGTTTAACTTCGGCAATTAAAGTTAAAATTTTTAATGAAAGTAAAATTTCGTGATCATTTAAATACTTAAAAAGCTGTTTTCAAGGACAATGTATATCGTAGAGCGGTTATAAGATGCCGATCGAAGGGTTGTCACTGAAGCGAAATGAAGTGAATTGAAGCGAGGTAAAGTGAAGAATAAAGATAAGCAGCCAACGCAAGATGTAATCTGATTCGTACGTCGCGTTCCTTAGCCGCTGGCTGCTTCGCATGGCTGAGCTTAGGACTGGCTGGTGCAACTTGTATTATGTTTCACGTTGCTGCGGTTCTTGTCTGGCAAGTCTTGAGCTCGAAGCCTTCAACAGTTTCGAAACGTCACGTAATAATAAATATATTAAAATTTATCCACTTATAAATTATACTGAATCATTTTTGATTGCTCAATCAATTAATGCGATAATCTAAGAAAATATTTCATAAATGTAATATAATTTATAAATGGTAAATAGTAATAATGGCAATAATGGTAAAAGATTTGAAATTATTTTATGTAATTCAAGATTATGACATAAATATAATTATGTTAACATTACACTATATTGTAAAATATTAATTATTATTTATGTATTTATCAGAATTTTTAATTAAAAATTTATAAATCAAAAAATAGAAAAAACAAAATACATTAGAAAAATAATAACATGTAAATTTATTATACATTTGCAAAATCTTGAAAAATCATCGTTAAATAAAACAAAAATATCGAACTATTATTATCAAATGATTGTAGCTCCACGAATATTTTCATCGCAACGAAGAGTAACGGAAGGATGAGTGCCCTAAGCAGGAAGACTAAGAGATGAGGAAGAGGGTAAAGAAGATGGTGGCACGTCTTGAAGTCCTTTTATTAGCACGGAACAAAGATGTGCTCCATTTAGTGACGTTGCCACCATGGTTCTGGTTGCCAAGGAAACCTTGTGCGCCCAACGTTGCAGTCTCAAACATATTCTCTGGAGATTTTAATTCTTCCTTCAAGAACGCTTCGATGGGTCCTTCCACCTCGCGATCTACGCCACTGCTTGAATACTCGGATTTCACGACATGTTTACAAAGATCCTAGAGATAAGTTGAGAATGGCCGCCGCAGCCCATGCCTCCTCCATGGGTGTAAGGTGACAGCTGCCTGCGCCTGCGTTACATGCACACAGGGTGTCCGAAAATTAGCTTGCCATCTCATTTGTGATTTATATACGCACTGATTAATTAAGAACGACATTCACAACATATTTTAACTTCATTTCTTGTATCTTAATCGTCGATACTAGAAATTAAAGTTATAAATATTATAAGATATTGATTAAAACTTGTACCTATTAAATATTACACAATAAAATTTATCAATTAAATTTTTATTAAAAGTTAAATAAGATAAATAAATTATTTGTGTTTGAAACAATATTGTATATTTAGCAAAATTTCCCAATCATTCTACTATTATAAATGATTTTATCATAAATATTAATTCCGGAATTTCTAAGTTGTATATTTATAAAATTTTTGCTTTCTAATTGTCCATTCTTCAAACAGTAAATTATATACTAACAATATAAGTCGACATTTTCGAATTGTACACCCCATATAACCTAAGATACGTTTGTACATACCTACTTAAACAAATCCTTTGGTGTGTGTGCGCGAGATCCCCACCCTTACATACACATATATAAGAAAGAGAAGGAAATATCTCGCTTACTTAGCTGGGGCTGAACCCACCCGCAGGATTTCTACACGTGTGTGCACTTATTTTAGCAGGATCTTATCGTGAAGATATGTCGTTCGAGAAACAAAAGAATACATTTTTTAATGAAAAAAAAATTCTAATTTTTCTCTTGAAACTATTTAAATTGATAATAGTACCTCTTATCTAATATTTTATTTAAAATAATATTTATAATTTCAATTATATAGATATCATTTTATATCATACTTTTCTTATTTTATATGCTATAATAAACTATTATAACTATAATAAATATAATAAAAATAAATATATAATTATAATAAATAATTTTAATGTTACATCGAATGACGTCAAATTTTTTTAACGATTACACAAAGTTACGATTTATAATTATTATATTAATTACAATCATGATTTCTAAAAGAGATGAAAATAGATATTTAAATATATTAATAGAATTTACGAATGAATATTTTTTTATTGATGGAAAAATATTTATCATTAATTTTTTTATTGTCTGCCAAAATGACCGGCATAATTCACTCAAGTAAAAGTTAGTTTGTTCGGCACTAAAAGACATATGTACATACCTGAACCTCTTCAAAGTAAATATTCTGGTCCATACTCATACACTTTTTTCTAAAATGTTCATATAGGTGTGTGCACCCTTGGGTGGTCGACGCGCACATCGAAGCACACCATTTGTACGTTAGAAATAGACCACAAGCGTCCCACATACTTCAAGCTAGTACTGCACTTACTCGCACGCTGTCTTATTTATCAATACACAAGGGTTCTTCGCAACTGTATATAGCACTACGATGTCATTATATTATAAAGGTATCAACCCTTATATCGCTTTCTTTTTCTGAGTGAGACAACGACTGGATTCGATCAACAGGATGTTGACGCCATGTCTCTTTCATGTGCCTTTCTTTATTACCTTCGATCTCCGTCGAACGACTCTTGGGAAACTTGACAACATCCATTTCGCGTAACGCTTCACGAGCTATATCGCATTTGTATTCGTGGACCGTACGTACATCGTAAGTTACGTAGTATATAAATCTATGTATCTTTTTTTCTTTTTTTTATCTTTTTAAAAAATATTATAAAAAGATTTTAAAAAGAATATACGTCTAATTTATCTAAAAGATAAAAATTTCTCCTTTTTATTATATTGTAAAACTATGATCGGATTAAGGTAAATACTTATTCTGCTCTGTTGCACTTATTCGGAATAACCTAAAGATACTAATCTTCTTTGTCGTTTTTCGAAGAATTTTTCCGATCGAAATCGCTTTTGCTTTCGGTTGTTCTTTTGTTTATCATTTTCAAGTACTACTTATAGATATATAAGTTCGAAAAGCGCAATAGACATTGTGGCGAATAAATAACACGAGGAAATGAATCACTTAATCATATTCGCCATCGTATGCACTTTGATGCGAGAAATATTACGTATCAGGGATGAGAGCGAGATAATAAAGCAACCGTTGCACATTCTCCTCTATCCCGCATTTGAGCACATTCTTTTTTATTTTATATTTTATTTTATTTTTTGTTGAAATTAATTTCCATATTTATATTTTTAGACATTATAAAAAAAAGATTAACAATATTTAAATATTATTTGCTTAGCAAAATTAATATTCTGAAATATTTTATACTAATAGCTTTATTAAATTATGTTCAAAGACATTAAGTATATAAAAAAATTATAAATTTAATGCTGTATTCATATGGGAAATTTAAAGAAAATAGCTTTTTATTCTATAAATTGAAATACCACGTAAGAAACAATTTTGAAAAATTTCACGGTAACATTATCTAAACTTTCAAGGAAATTTGAGAATCCATCTAGTTCGTATAAAACGCGCATTGGATGTAAGAGCAGGTGGTGGGAAATTAGGTTGCTACCCTTGTCTCGCATCGTCCTGATTATCATAGTCAAAAATATAATCTTCATCTCGTGCGCGACATTTTCATTAGGTGCAATCCTATACCGCAAAAATATTCATGAACCATTATTATAATTAAAAAAAGTTTGAATTTCTTTCAATTTGCAATAAATAACATTTTGTGTCAACAAAATAATATTAAAAATATATATAACAAAATTTGTGTTGTATTAATATTCGTTTAACAAATATTTTAAAATTAAAACAGAATGTAATTAAAAGATATATACAAAATAATTTATATAATGTAATTAACATATATATATTTAAATTAATTTAAATCTGAAAAAATCTGTTAATTTATCTAGTATTCAGAAATAATTTTTATTTTAACATGCAATGACAGGTAGCAAGGACAAATATCTTGGGTCACTTTTATCACACCATAATCGATAAAAAGGCAAAAAAAAAAAAGAAGAAAGAACATTCTCCTTCCAAGAAGGCAGCAAGTATGACGTAGGGCCGCTGGACCTCCCGTCAAGAATTCTCTATCTCCGATTATAAAACAAAGAAGGAAAAAAAAAAACGTATGCGTACCATGCTGTGGACGCGATGCAAAAGAACAACATGAACATTCGTTGTCGCATCACATTTCCCGGCACGTAGATTCAAAAACCTGTCTCATCTGAAAAAAGACGTTAAATCGAAAATAATCGTATACGTCAAACGCTGTCGAACAATGTAACCGAATGCAATCTCTACAGAGGTCACCACTAATTGTCAATACTATGGCAACGATCTTTGGCACGTGGAGACCTCTTCACGGATTAAAATCTTTCACCATGCATTAGAAACGACCACTTTGGACCGCGCGTATTCCACCATTAATTCGTTAACCCCGTGCTGTGCATTCCTTCGCGGTTATCAAGATCGTGAACATAGACTACCTTAATAACTATTCTACGATGGACTTCTTCCTTGTACGGGCTGTAAACGAAAAAAGCTGTGGGTCTGTCAGTCGAGAGCGATTCATAAAAACGAACGGTGACAGGAGGTGACAATTATTCGAATAAGGGGGTAACCTGATTGTGTCTTTCTTCGTCTATCATCTAGATCCGTTCTTTGTTGTTTCTTTTCTTTGTCTGACAATCGAGTGGCCAAGCGAGTTGCTATTAGTCTCTCTCATTCTAATTAACGAGCGACCTGTACGCGTCCGACCAACGAAACGAGACGACGAATAGAGCTGCTAACGGTAGAATGAAGATGGAGGATAAAACTGAGAGAGGAGATGAACAGGGAAGAAGGATGCCAAACGAGCCGGCCAACCACGTGACTATCGGGCGGGGGTGGCAGGCGACATTTCGCATGCTCAGAACTCCACAGGCTGCAGCATATCGCACACCGAGCCGATACGCTTCGCAGGGAAACAATAGTATTAACTGCGTTTGTGATATAAAAAATTCATCAAAAGAGCCTCAAAAAACGCGTATCGAGTGGATGTAACCTCGAAAAAGATCGACTACTGCTTTTCGTTTTAACCGATTGCCTCAAAACATACATACTATCCACGGATTCCATGGTTTCACCCTTCGCGCGGTACACGGATAAAACTGTTTGGGAGATGTTTTCTCGCGAGATCATCGACCAAACTCTTTCAATTGCATTACGCTTGTAGTTTCTTTCGTGGAGTGAATTTTTGGATGGATTTTTGTTGATCAAAAAATTATTTCGCGTATTGTTGGGAATAGTCGATTGATAGTGCATCCGTCGGTTGTCATGATGTTCTCGTGGTCGTGGAAAGTGCGAGAAAAGTGAGAGGTTGTGTGCTTAAACCCCAAGTGCATCACGTACACGCATACATACAATATAAGCAAAAGGATGACGATGCTACTATTAGGAGAGAACCGAATACAGCTTCCTTGATCTACGAATAATTTGCGGCGAAGCACCCTCGTTCTTGGTCCAGCTTTAACACCGGATACAAGGTTTGAATTAATATATATTTATTACATAATTTATTATTAATTTGTTTTACTAATAATGTCATTTTCACATTTAAAATAAAAATTAATAATTTTGTAAATTGCATAATTATATTTATATCTATATAAAATAATTATATTTATATTATTATGCAACGTGTAAGTCTTTATAACTTATAATTTCATTTAAATGCAAATAAAGAAAATTTTATAGAATATAATATACAAAAATTACATAAAGTGAAAATTAATTAAACCATTCATTAACTATAAATTTAGATTAAGATAAAAAGATTTATATAAAAATTTCCTTTTTAAAAATATTAGAAATAGTGAATAAAATAAACGGAAACAATGATTAAATGAATTTGTTGATCGAATGCCACGTGGGAAGCGCAATTCTCTTTGCTTTACATTTATCCATTCCCTAACTTATTAGTTGTACGGGAGTCACACGCTACATGGATATACTTTTGCACATATACGTATATACAGAAATGCATCCATAATCACACTCACATGTGTAAATGTCATTATCAATTGAGCATGCGTGACTTATGCATCTCATTCGGCTCGTTACCAGTAATGTATTTTAATTGGTCAACCGCTGCATAGTGCCAAGTACTTAATCCGTAGTACTGAAAAACCGAGTGAAATTTTTATTCTATGAAAATGTTCTCGTATAAAAAATAATAAAGAAATATTAATCTCGAGAAGTCATCATTCGAAATAAATTTATTGATGGGATGAGTAAAATATTTTGAAACGAATTCGTGATTTCTATGTTCTGTTTCATACTTGGAGGTTAAAGAAAAAGAAATGACGAAGGAAAACCAGGGAATTCTGGGACGAAGGAGAAGCTTTTGTCTTGGCCTCGTAGTGTAACCATCCCTTCCTTATTTTTCTTCTTTCCTCCTTTCAAATGTAAGCTGACCGCGGCTGTTGTGGACATGAGTGTCGTGCACGAGAAACTTCTGGCCGCACATTCCTCTTTTTCTATCCTACTTTCGTTTCGTTGCGTTTCTTTGACGGCTGACGGACAGCGGCAAGGCAAACAACTCAACTGCGATAAACATTTCGGTGCACGTTTTATTTAGATAAACCTGAACGTTTTTCTAAGGACTTTCATGCCTTTTCAAGAAAATAAATAATAACGTAATTTCGAATAACACGTTGACGATACAATAAACAGGATATTTAGAATATCATTGTGTATGTGTATGTATGTGTTTATAGATAAAAATGGACTTTATAAATAAAACGGAATACATTTCATTTTATTTATAAAGTATTATATTTATTCACAAATATTAAATAGAAAAAAATGTTATATAAAAAATTTTATTTTTAACTATATTGCTAATTTTATGAAATATTACTTTAAAATTAAATAAATTATTCATATTAATTCTTTTTTTAACCTACGAAATTCTTCTCTTAATGTACTATGGTATTTAATTCTAATAAAAGCTTAGCTTTATAATATATACGAGATAAATGAAATCTATTTTTCGATTATTACTATATATAAATTATCTTATTACTATAAATATAAATTTATAATAAGCTAAATTTTCTTAAATATATATTTTATTAAATATTATATATTATACTTTGTAGATCATTAATTAAATTCTATACAAAAATTATTTGTTAAAATCAATCCATACAATTTCCATTGAAATCCATTGAGATAAAAATCAAATTTTTGATTTGAGAAATGAATGGTTATAGTTATATTCGCTGTTAGTTAAAAGCAACAGTTTTTCATCGATCAATCATGGTACAATGTTTAACGGGAGGGAATTCGGATGCGTTTAACGCGTGTTTTTCTCTTTCGCGTTTTTCCGGTATCATTCGATACAAAAGAAAAAAACGACGCGACGAAATACAGTGATCGTTTAATATCGCGCACGCACTGTCCATTGTTTCGAACGATTAAATCGGCTATTTTTTTTTTCGACTTTCAACGTTCGAGAACGCGTATATGTATTACGTTTCCGAGAAGAAAAATCGAGCGAGTCCTCTGCCTGTTGTTCAAACACATGGCTGCACGCTAATTGATTCATCGTCGTGTTCCAGTGAGCGACGTAACTTCCAACCGACGCGATGCATGCATCACAGGGAAACAATTGCTTTACTCTTACAAACTCTTACAAAATATATATATATATATATATATATATATATATTTACATATATGTACAATATATATTATACATATATAGAGGATCATGTATGATGTGCGATTGTTCGTACTTTTCTCGAAACGATCGTTCCATTGACAATGATTTATTCAATTACAAACACCCGAGAGAAAATATTTGTTCGTGCTCGTGGAGAACACTACTGCCCCCGCATTGGAGAACGAGTAATTAATCATATATCACTCTACTTAGAATCGATTTGTTTGCAGAATCATAATTTAATATGATCCTTTTTTTCTCTTTGTTATCTATCAATCTAATTAAAGATTTCTGTCTTTCTTATGTCACCAATATAAAAAATTTCATAGCAATATTAATTATGTTACCGATCGATACAATAATATTTACAATTAAAATATATATTTAAATAAACTATATTTATAAGTTTTAATTTTTATAGGAGAAGAATTTAATATGGTGTATTTTTATTGTATTTAATATAAAGAAAGAAAATAAATTTTTAAATTCTTCTTCCTCAAATTTTTTCTTCTTTTTTATTATATTTTCAAAAAATTTATTCAATCAAATATTGCATATTTATTTATTTATTTTTATTATTTGATTTTATGAAAATATTTGAAACATATTTTTAGAATATTTTTTATTATTAAAAATTATTTTTCTCCGATTATTTTTAAAATTAATAATTTATTGAATAATTATGAAAAGCTTTTTTTTAATTTTAATTAAATCATCAAAATTTATAAAAACTATATTATTTTATTATTATTTTATTATATTGTAATTGAAAGAAGTTGATTTTTTTTTAAATTTCTTTTTCTATATGATATACTTTTTTATATAATTACAACCCTTTTTACTGTAGGTAATCTAAGGAACTGCAAAGCACTGTTAGTTTGTTGAATTTTATCAATGGTAAACAGTTTTGAAATCCTGTTCCGCTTGGTGAATGACAATTTATAAATCACAAGTTCAGTGCCCTTTTATATGTGTATCATTAAAAAATCGATATCGAAAACTTATTTTAATCGAATCAATTGACATTTTTTATTTAAATTAAAATTAAAATTCAATATTGAAGTTATACAGATTATGTCATTAATAATATCTGGAAAACTGACAATGCTAAATTTTAATAAAAAAGTTACGATTAAATAAAAAAAAGAATTAAAATATAATTTTTTGTCATTCAAATTTTTAATTTGAAAAAACTAATAAACTTCTCAACCTATAATTATCAAAAATTCAATATTTCAAAATTCAATATCGATCATTATTCGATTTTCAGAAACTTAACCTCTATTTTATGCAGAAAAATCTTTCAAATTATTCAAAAATAAAACAAATGAAAAACTAATGAAAAAGATATCTGTTTCCTGGTTTTCCATCTATGCCCAAGAACAAAAGATATTTTAGAATAAAGTAATTTAAAAACAAAAAGTTTTTGAAATTTTTTCTAAAAAAATTGATGAAATTTTTCAAAATAGATTCTGTGATAAAAAGAGGCATAGAAATAGAGACAAAAAAGAAAGAGAAAGAGAAAAGGATCTATCCATAAATAAATCGGAATTTAATCTCGCGGATGCGGTGTATCATTACGATATCGCCGTCAGTGTGAAAGCGCCCTTATGCAAGAGAGTCTCTTTTTCGCAATATGTATAGTGCATTACGAAGTATATAAACGCGAATAAGGGCGGAGCACAGACAGATATAGCGACTTGGCAACATAAAGAATACATAATGTAAAACATCGTGAAAGGAGGTTTCATTGGCTGCTCTCTAAGGTTCTTGGTGTACGCCTACCCATCTAGTCACTCCACCTCTTCGACACGCAATTGGCAGACAATAACGAAACTGCCCGTTTCGTATACATTAACTCTTTTCCTGTCAACCGGAACGATGGAACCGAAGAACCACGTGATTGGTTATCGATATCGATTTTAATGAATCTTTTTCAAATGAATTTGATTTTTTTTTTGTAAAAAATATTGGATTCTTCGATTTTTTAGGGACAAATTTATCAAAATAAAAAAATAGATAATTTTTTTTGTTTTATGAGAAAGATATATACATATCTTTTTTTTTTTTCTATATCTATATATATCTCAATATATCTTATATTTCATTCCTTAGTATTATAATCACCAAAACATTAAAATTTGTAAAATAAAGATATTT